GCCCTCTGCTGTGCCAAAATTATTCATCATTCTTGCAACGGAGAAACACGTGCGGACCGGTGAGCATTGCGACGGGATCATCAGGTTTTCGCTGTTCTCCCATCTGCGTCTCCTCAGTTCCCCCAGTGCCTAGTGTATGCAACTTGACACACTTCCTGCAAAACCAAGAGACCCTTCAGCTCTATCAACCCTACACGCTCTCCAATCTGAGCTGCAAGCTGTCTGCACACGTCTGATTGCGCAGCCCCGCATCTGTGCGGTGCGTAGCTTGCAGCGCACGTCCAAAATGCTCGCAGACAAATGGCGCATATCCCTCCATATTAGCAGCAAAGCCTTGCGCGTGTTGGGCAGCGTTGCTACACCTCCACGAAAGCAAATAAGACCTCATGTCCACCCACGATACACAAGAGTACCGTCGGCCACTCCTAATGCTCACAGGAATTTGCCCTACGCCGCAGCGAATGCGTCTCCAAAGGCCGCTGCTCCTAATGTATGCAATCGCCAAAAGCGCTTCTGGTGACTCCGGATGCGATTTCCTCCCAGCAAGTTGAGAGCTCCAAACAGCGTGTCGAACACATCTTCTGCAGGGTGAAATCGATTCGCCAGTCTCAGGAATTTGTTGTTCTTCCATCTGCGCCAGCCCAACTCTTCCACCGTTTGGTGTGTGGAACCTGACACACCTCCTGCAAAACCAACAGGTCTTTCAGCCATTCCAACCATGCACGCTTTCCAAACGTGGCTCCAAGGTGTCTCGACACATCTGACTGCCCAGCCACGCGACTGTGCGGTGCGTACCTTAGAACTCATGTCTAAATTTCTCACTGACAAAACGCGCCTGTCTCCGCTTCTTCTCACGGAAGCTTCACTCACACACGCCGGCGTTGCTCAAACTCCACGAAGGCATCCAGTTTCTCATCCTCACGCACACAACACACAAGTATCCTCGACCACCCAAGCTGCTCACAGGCATTTGCGCCACACCGCAGCAAATGCCTGCACAACGACCGGTGCTACGTTTGCAAGCAGTGTCCAAAAGCGCTTCTGGTGACTCCAAATGCGATTCACTTTCAGCAGGCCTACGAAACGCCAAACAGCGTCTACGTAGTACACTAAGGGGGGTTAAAACTTCCCGTGGCTCGAATGACAAGTGCGACAATGTTTGCAGATATATCGAGAAGGGATTTCAACGCAGCCAATGCGTTCGGAAAAGTCTCTACGTCACGGACAGCAACGAAGAGAGCACCATTAAATCACTTATGCAACCTGTGTTTCCCTGTGGCGCAGTGAGGGAGAGGCGATTCAGCGATACTTCAGCTTAGAATCATTCCGATCTTTCTTAATTCCACTTTAAGGGGTGCGTTCTAATGTTGCTGCCACCATATGCCACGTGCATTTGTGACATGGAGAGCCAAGATGCTGCAGACTATGGCTGCAGATGCGCACCAGCAAGATTGCTTTGAGTTTCTGTTGCATGCCGCAGAAGCATGGGTCGGGCAAATAACAAAAAGCAGAACTGGAACTCATGGCTCTTTGGAAATGCACATGAAGCAATACCAGCGGTTCACCATGCAGTGTGCTCACATTAGGCCAAGCAATAGGTCCCCAGGGTCGCAATTGGAACGAGCCCAGAACCGTACATCACATGGAATAAACTGAAAACTAAAACTACATCGTTGGAAATGCTGTACATCGCGTACATTGCGCCTCTTCCCTTTATGTTTTAAAGTGCGCGTGTGCAGCATTTTTGCGGTCAAGACGGAGTGCTCCATGAATCGTCTATCGAGCGCCTGGCAGTCCACTGAAAGCTGAAACTGCATGGTTGGGAATGCTGTGTCTGGCTCCTTCAATTTCAACGTGCATGCAGCGTTCTGGCAATGAAGGCCATATCTTTCATCTTAAGCAGGCAGCCAGTGTGTTCGGCCTGCGTGCAGCGTGAAAAGACGGTAACTATGTCCACTATCTCCACCGTACGCATTCCACGCAAATACTCGTTACTTCCAGCGAGTCTGCAGTTTGGTCGAAAGTGCGTAAACTGTCACGTTAAATCGAAAGTGCAGTACGTTGCGCGTCTGACTGATTAATCATCTCTGGAGTTCGTGTCATTGCACGTTCATCGTGCTCCGTAACGTACAGGCTGGGCGAGCCGTATAGGAACTGTTCTGGGAACCACTAACTGAGTTTTGCCACGCAAAGCCTCTTGCCTACCTCGTTCTACAGCAGCGCGTTGCAAACGCCCAAGAATTACATAATCCTTTTTCACCCAGCACAGGTTTGCGTGATGCGGCTCGGAAATAGAACGACAAGTCATAATTAAACCCAATCTACTCTTGAAAGTGAATCCTCAGTCGCACAGAGCACCAAAATACTAGTTAGTGATACCGATTGGCCAACAAATTAGTTTGTGTTCGCTCTGAATGCATTGCATTTTTGGCCGTGATAAACGTGTTGCAATTTTTAGAGGTGCACTGCACCTACGAACGGCTTACTGTGGTTTAGCATAGGTTGGCCAAGCAGAGCGTGGAATTTTGCACGGTTTGCAGCGGCCCGAAATTCGTATTGTCTATAATTTACACCGTGAGGTGCAACTGAGGTGCAACGCTCCATGGCAGCACTTACTCAGAGCGCAAGCAGACGCCACCTGCATTACACGCCACAAATATATCCAAAGGTTGCCGATGAAAAGCTGAATATATTTACATACGTGTATGTGAGTATAGATATGCACAATATATACAATGTAGGTACGCACGGACATAGGTTACGTTTATGTACATACATATGAATTATCAAATAGATACATACATTTGCTCATTATAGGTATTTGCGTATATATAATAATAATAATAATGCGTTACACTTACGTCTACCAACACAATAGCACGGATATTCCTGTAGGCAGCATCTCTTAGGCGATTTTTGCCTTAATGCTAAGCTTACTCTGTGGACTTCGTTCAGTGATTCTTGTAGTGCTGCGTGGAAAGGCTGCTCTAACTGCACTTCACAAGTAGCCAGCAGCCTGCAGTCAAATTGTTGTGGCTGCAGCTGAGCGCCTTTGAACAATTACGTTACTCGCTACAGAGCAATAAAACAACCGTATGTATGCACGTTGGATAACTGAACCAAATGCTATGCTCAGCAGCAGTTGCTATCGAAGGCTCGCACGGGAATGCGCTTGTTCATGGGCGCAAGTGTAACGCAAAACTTTTGAAGCCACGCTGAAGCAGATTGCATGAAGAAGCACATGATCTTCATTTTGGTTACATGCGATCATCTTTCACCAGGCCGGCAAATGCATATCCAATGTAGTGGACAATGCTAGCGAACACGGCAGGCGCCATGCCACGAATGTGTATCTTTCAGTATCGTAAAACTAAGCACAAGACATGAGACTGGAATTTCGGCGTTAAGAAATGAGATCCACCCTTCGAAATTTCAGCCGCCTGCTGGTCCAGCAGCGTCGTGTAGTCCGTCAAGGAGTCGCGAAAAGCCACATACAGTTAACGCACAACTTCGAAATTCGAATACTCCGATGGGTATTCCTCCTTTAGTGGTGGTTCTCACGCGTAGAAACCCGATAAAACATTTGGACTAATGCTTGGAAAATGACACCAAATGCACATAGTGCAAGCAAGGCTTGACAGTGCACTGTTACTGAGTATCTCATAAAAGAGCTCTCAGAAATTCTCCTCTACTTGTCCGTGCTAAGAGAATTGAGGCATAGTGTCCGAAAAAGACTAGAAGCGCACGTTCTACATGTGGCGAAAGAAAATAATTCTCACTATCGGCGCCAAAAACCGCTATAAAACAGCAGTAATTCTCAACCGCTCGAACAAGCCAGCTGTTCGACGGCCGGTAAAAGCCACAGTAGGTGCAGTTGCGCCATGCTTATCAGGCTGGGCTGTCTTACCCAACACGAAGCAACAGAGCTTCTCAGACGTCGCATGTTTTAGAGACAACCCAACTAGCTAAAACATTTGTCCTGCTGTGCTCTTAAGCATTGCCAAAGACATGGTCTCTTCAGAAGGTGCGGACTCGCTTCAAGGTCAGATTCGCATTCACAGCAACATACATAGCGGACCAGTTTTACTCACCCCACCTGGCCACAATTAAATATGTACTTGTATGTAAGGAATTTTATCTGTGCTTTGCTGTTGACGCAAAAGAGTGTTAGCAGTGAACGTGCCCGACCAGCCGTAGTTCAAGGGTTCAACAGTAGGTTCATGTGTCACTCCAACAACTCGCTACATCCTATCATCACCTCACATTTCTATCAGTGAACTTGTACACTATGGGTTCCACAGTCACCGAAATCATGGGTGAACGACGATAAGACACTAGACCTTCTCGTGCAGAAGAGTCCCTGTTCAAAATGAAAGAAGTCAGCAGTGGAGCGCTCGCCCCGTAAGTAGCACGTGCCATTGGTTGATGCTGAACTGAGAAATTATCGTAGTTGCCGCAACACTGAACAACTTGAGTTGCTGGAAATTTAGCAGCATGCATGCGGAAACACAGCATGCGCAGGCTCTTTACAGCACAAGAGGAACAGCTCAGAAGTCGTAGAAGGCGCAACTGGATGCATACATTGGATACGTCGAGGTGGGCATAAATGAATTGCTCTCCTAAATGTCCAAGAACAAATGTACGGTTCCAAAGAGGGCACAAAAGCTACGCAGTGCAGGACAAACGCAGAAAGAACTTGGCATGGCCGGGTTTCTGTCATAATTTGGCATTGTTCCCATACCCTCTGATGAACTCAAACAAGGTGGCCATTCGGCGGCTTTTCATGCAAAAGTACCAAGTCTTAGGTTTCCATCTTACAGAGGCCACTACCTTGCAGAGCTATTGGCGTGATTCCGTAGAACCAGGATTGAGAGATGAATGCAGCCGGACCGCCGACGGATACCCAGTCTTATGATCTAGCGGTTAGCTCCTTGAGACAGCTGCATAAAAATATGGTAAGCCGCCCTATCATGTAGTACATGCTAGCTGACATGCCTCACCTGCGCTGATCGCCAGACTCACAGAGTTTGAGCCCCCGTTGCCCATAGCGAGCCGCCGCGTTATCAAACTGTAATTATCCCCGCTGTTCTGAGCCTCAAGTGACTTGAAACAGAACATCATAGCAAAGCCCACGGCAAAAACGGCTGCTAGGATAGAAAGCATCGTGAGGTGTGAAGCGTGATGCGGGCGCCCACCAACGTATTTGGTGGTGTCCCTGAGCTGAGCAGCTGCCTCATCGTTTGTAGGAGAGTCGATTGAGTATGGAAGGACTGCGGCTTCAGCTTTGTGGAAATCGGCCACTACAATCACCCCCAGTGACGCAAAGAGGGCGAACAGTTGTCGAGAGCATAGTTTTTTCAACGAGGACGCTAGCATTCTGGGAGGAACTTTGCACTTGCATCCCTTTTAAAAGCAAAAATTCGTGCTGAAGTATCTTCGTGAAGTTTCTGTAGTAGCTGAAACAGATTTGTTCCCCAGCTGATGAAGCGCATGTCAGCCGAACACTGTTCGGCGCTGAAGTGAGCGGGCAACAGAGTAGGCAGCTCAGACACGTTTCCGATCGTGAGTTCATATAGTTAATGCTGGCCTGTATAATATCACTTACGTGTTTTAAGCTGTTCTTCGATCAATCAACAAATATTTTCTTCAGGCCATGATCGTTGCGCCACAGTTGGTCGTAATTCCACTTCGCATTTCATGTTTCTCCTTTTTAGGAAGTAGCGTTGCTTCGCAGATGAGCCACTGCATAGTACTGTCCTTCCGTTGCACTGTAACAAACTTAACTTGCAGAAGCAAACTAGACGATAAAATTGCTGCAGATGTATTCAACGTGCTGAATGGCAATGATGGCGCAAGGCCACTATCCCGTACGCACAGTGCATTTGTTGATAGCGCCTGAATCTACGGAATCTCCGAAAACCCAACGCGAGAGATTGAAATTGTTCTGTTAAATATATTTTAACACGTTTTCATGCATGTAACTTCTACAGTGCTTCCTGATATAGCATGAGAGGGTTGGGCAGGCACAGACGACCCACAGTTGGGAAGTGATCAATTGAGGAGGCAAGCTTCGCAGTGCGCCCACATTGTTAATGGAAAATACTGAAAAGAATGGCCACATAGAGCTGAAAACCTCTTGTAATCATTGCATAGCAGCTAACAGTGCACTATATGTAAACGCTTGAATCCTTTGCCTGTGGAGCTAACAGTTGGGAAGTCCCTGTGCTCTGCATTGATTGAAGGCAGACGCGGCGTCACACTGTTGTACTGAACAATGCATACGTAGTAGGCCTTCATGTGGCCCCCTGGCTTAGAACAACAAGATACATCCACATAATTGTAGTTATGCAGCTGGACAGGTCTTATGAAGGGGCCTAGGCAAAAGCAGTACGTTTAGACATCATCAAACGCAACCACAAGACAATTCGCACAGTGTCGTCGACAACTACAGTCAGACCCACGAAGCGTTAAGGCCAAAACCGTAGGTCTCAAATCTTAATCATAATTATGTTTCCTGCGTGTTTATAGACGTCTTGACAGGGGACAATTACGCACGGGGTGCTCAGGACAACTCTAAGGAGAGCAAGCTCTGTTGGCGAGGCCAACGCAGCTTTGCCCGCATGCCAAGCCATTGTCCAAATGTTTTAAACCTGGCGGGCTTAACTTCTGAGTGCACCATATTATCGGAATCAGGTTGTGGCCCTCCGCCCTTGGGCATGAGCGTCATTAAAACCTTGACGGTTTCAACTTGCCTTGTGGAAGATTTCATGAACGATCCTATTTGGATTTGTGTCTAGACCCAATAGTACTTTTAGAGTATGACCCGCTGGCCACGGCTGTTCGACAGCAAAAGACTATCCTGGCGTGACTCGCCATGGCATTCTTCACTGCTGGCCTGGAAGCGATGACCATGCCTGTATAAGGTCTCGTTCCTCGCTGTGCACGCTGTGCAGTGCTACAGCGTGAATTTTTTATGAAAGAGAACTGCCTTCCCTTCTTCTATGAATGGCAAACCAGTCCATAAATAACATTTCTCGAATCATTGTTCGACAAAACCCCTCGAGCTTAGTCGGGGCTAATAAAGAATCATTACGGGACGTCCTCCTCCACTACGGTAGCATTGCTGCTCCGCGAGGAAAATCGGGACTGCGCGCACAGGGAATATGAGTTCCTGCCCTTAGTGCATATGAATCAGCAACAATTGGAAAGGATTCGTTCGTTGCGAACGGAAGAAAACAGCTCCGAGAATTGCAGAAACGCATTCCTTTGGTAGGCAGCCACGCAAAACGACAAGAATGCAGGAAGTGGCCTATGTAATGACAATTAGGACTGAATATTGGACATCAAATCAATGCATGATTCTTAGGCGGAAGGAATAACAAACATTTTTCTAGGTATCTGTGACTCATTGGTATCTGTGACTCATTGACGACTCGGTCTGGCAGGTTTAGACGCAAAGGCAGGAGAGCAAAAAACTTGGCCAAGGCGAGGTCCTGTGGGGTGAGCTCAGAATAGACTAGTCGAAGCTCTATTCTCATATAAGGTGCGAGAAACACCTGTGATGCTAACCAGCGGAGGGCACTTTATGCAAGATGTAGCCTGCGCTATTGGCGTGTTGTCCAGCCCTACGGCGGTGCAAGACTTCAGGTTGTACGGGTTAGCAGAGCTGCTTGGGCGGTAAATGGTGCGAAGGTCTAGCGCTCAGGGCATACAGTTTTTGGTCGAAGAACCACCTAGCTTTCACGAAGAACCACCGGTGGATAAACACATCGGTTGTAAGCCCAGCTCGCCGGCAGTACACCCAAGCTTGCAAGCCGCGAATCCAAATCAGCAAGGCGGCTTTAAAGGCAGGCACGCGCTTGCCGTGGCTTAACTGCGAACCCTTACTTGCAAAACCACAAATCCTGAAATCTGAGAAGCTGCAGCATAGCACGGGAGCCGCACACCATGGCTTGCTGTGTCAAAAGCATGAACACAAAGGAAGAGCAACACGAGACAACTATAAATTCGATATCGTGAGAAATGAAGTGGGCGCGCTCTACCGAAGAGCTAACAGCCCTTTTTCACTTACTAGCACATGTTGATATAATACTGGATCACCATTAAAAGCGGCATCGTTGAGTTGGGTATTTAGATGTAAGTCTAGTATCAGCATTAATAATCCGACGTGAACAGTGCTGGTACGTCGAGTGGGTTCAATGATAAATATTCACCACCGCCCATTGTCAACTCCGATGACGCTGCATTCAATGCCTGTGGTAGTCCTACGCAGCGCATGGAATAATCTCATCAAAAACGCTAATTAGTGCTGCCTGAAAGGTTTCTGAAGAATACTAAGGTCATAAGAAGACAGCTTAGCAACGCACGCTCAACCAAGGTAAGGAGCTCCGTTCCGTTTTCAGTAGTTTATGCTGTAACAATGCGGCTGGCACTCCATCTTCGTTGAACTCGTCTACTGAATGTTAATCCTCCAGGATTAATATTCAGGCGGCGGTTTTGAATTACCCACGTTATTCATAAACTACCCTTTTGCCAGCTTGCTTTTGCACAATAAGTATTGGTCCATACTATGCTAAGCTGCATGTCTCTGCGCAGCTCTAAGGTGCTGCTTAAACGTTAATCGGTTTCACATCGGCGATACATCGTGTGCTGTAACTGCAGTAGGCTTGGGTCAAGTGGTGCCACGCTCAGGGCAAGATCCAATCAAAGCGTATCTGACGCTTTGATTGGACCTTTCTTCTCAGTACGACTGCCTTGACCCAAGCCTACTGCAGTGTCCACGATGCGAGGGTCATTTTCACACCTCCGCAGGAATCAACAGTTGCTAATAATCTACTGTTCAAAATAAAGCTAGCAACGTTTGAAAGGCAAAAATTACACCTGGCTTTTAAAGTAGTGACATAGAAGACAGCTTCTTTGCAAATGGCTGCATGAGCTGTTCAGTTTTAGCTACTTTCCTTAACGGAACGGAGACACAACATCGACCTGGACTGGAAAGCAAACGCTTCAGTGCACAAAAGACAGATTAGTACAGATTGTTGGAGGCCCAACTGGCCAGTCAGCCAAGGCGGAGCGATCTTTCTTTGAAATCCGTTGTCCCACGATTTGGAAGCACGAACGTTTCAGGTATGGGATTAGGTTACCATTATCTGAGAGTAAAGCCCTTCGCCGTAAATTGTTCATTTCACGCACTTAACGTACGACCTTGCGGTAGTAAGAAAAGAATTTCAAGAGTCTACAACAGCCATTCAATATTTGGCGTCGGAGGTTCATTTATCGCAGCGCTATTACACGTTTGAGCTCGCTCTTAATCTTTTATTATATATCTCATTTCATCACTGTTTGGGGCATGCCAGCCACGCAGAAGTGATGTCCCACCAGCGGCTCTGCGCTGGTGCTAAAGGTTGTTGCGGACAGAGAGCAGACGCACTTTATGTTTCGATGTACTTGTGAGTTCCTGGAGACTTTTGGTGTGAACAGAGAACAGACGCACTTACTGCTTGGATATACTTGTGAGTTCTCGGCGACTGTGTCCCGCAAAGAAGAAAGCTGTATGCTAACGCCTGACTAGACACTTCTTCCCGCAGCAAGTACTTGCTAAAATAGGTTTCCTCTGGCAGTGCACACGTTTCTGCCCTACATAGTTGAACCGATAGTGGAGTAGCCAGGAACGGCAAGAGTGAATCAAACTGAACTAACGAATTAAAGTACACCCACATACAACAAGCGCGTAACCGCGTACCGGAACACTCCGCTACGGAGATGCTGCTGCACATTTGAACAGCCGATAAAAAAATGTCTTCTACAGCCTTTCTGTGCTAGTGTGCTGAGGCTTGAAATTTATATGTAAAACTATAGGTGGCCTTGTCGTTGTCACTCAGCAGGCTGCTCTAGAACTCAGCGTTCTCACGATATTTACAGTCCTGCATGAAAGCTATTACAAACAAGTGAAGTAATCGTTACATTTGCCCTTGAGGCAACTGGAGCAAATTAAGGACTACTGAAAATAACCGAGCCATTGAGCCAGTTCCTCGCCACATCAGCCATCACTAGCCAATGAGAAGGCATCGTGTTGAGATTTGGACACTGCAGCCAGATAGTGCAGTATGTGAGCTGCAGAAAATTTCGTGCTCAACAAATTATTTGAATACAAGGCGCCATAATGCACTCCTTCTCGTGCTAAGGTCGGGTTCACAATCTGTATAGCGAGAACCAAGTGATTCGTATTGTGAAAACATGCACAGATGAAAAGGTACAGCATACAGCAAGCAACTGCACGGAACTTTGCACCTCTGTGATACTTTGCATTTCAAGACTGAGAAATACAGAATGCCCACTGATGAACCCTTTGTGGTAGAGTGAAGGGATTCCTATTG